TAAAGTCTTCTAAATGCATACCATGGTTTAGAGTTGTCTCTCCTACACCTTATTCAGTAGGAAAAAAAAGTTTAGGAACATGACTGTATCAAATATTTCAATGCATTTAACTTACTTTTCATAGAAACAACCATTTTTATGCATTTATACTTTATCATTTTATTGTTACATAATTATGTCATTACAAAAACAAATACAGAGAGAGCAGCAATGGATTGGCATCCTCAAGGGTAGCTGATCCATCAAGGACACTCAGGGTGCACTGAGCATCGCCAGGCAGCTTGTTCTCAGAGGGAATGGAGAGCACCTGTTAATTCCACACGCTTGTTAAGAGGAGGTCAGTTAACAGAATGTCTACTAGATACCCAAATGGAGTCACCTCTACCATGTATGTAATGAAAATATTTGTTTCAAACAAGTGTTCTAGGCACCTCTTGAACGGCCCTCAGTTTGCCAGAAGTGGGCAGGGATTAAAGTGACATTTGATCAGGTTTACAGACAGCCTCAATTTAAGAGCTTCCCTCTTTTCTTCTAGCCCAATAATGTGAGAGAGCAAGAAATATCTGGTGCCAGACAAGACATAACAGTTTGAAATTTGCGTCCCAAGTAGTTCAGTCTTAAATAAAGTATTTCATAAAAAAATAAAAAAACAGAAATATACAAATCAAAAGGGAGTATCAGAAGAACACAGAGCAAGAGGAGAGAGCTTTTCACCATATGTTGAAACTCTTGACCTTGATCCTATCCTGCAAAATAAATCAAAGCATGCAGACTTTCCAACATACACATTACTCCACAATGCAGGAATCTGTCACTTCAAAAAATACCTAGAAGAAACTGTTTCATTTTTTCAACAGAATTGCTGGAAAACCTGTTCATTATATACGTAGCCATGTTCTAAAGACACCCAGGTATGGCCAAACTTTGGTCTGCTCCACATGCTTTCGAAACACAAAATATTAAACAAATATAAATGAGTACTTAAGTCGTCTAATTTGCAATCACAATCGTGTTCATTAGAAACATGTGCCAATAAAAAAATGGTAACTCTTTGGGGTAACCTGAGCTAACTTCTCCACCTTCAAAAACTCACAGGAAAAAAAGTACCCAAACATTCCAGCAGCTGATCTGAATTATGTATTATCACATCTATTATGTGATGACAGCAAGACACTCAACTTAATGTGCTTTCTTAAGTTATGAAGTGCCCACAGAAGGATTGCCCAGTAGATTTCCAACATATATAACAGTGTCTCTGAGAGCAAGACAAATAGAAATTCATTCTGTCTGACCCCTTGGTCTCATTTGGCTTCGTCTGCACCATGATTTTAAATTCATCATTCATGCCATATTTTACCTCTCCAATAATTGAAGAACTGGTGTTCTTCCACCCACATTATTTCATATATGCAGAAATTT